GCTGGGTAGAGTATCCAGGAGACAAGACATGTGGATTCAAAACTACTATTCTCATTCCTCATCATGTCCAATTTTCAGCAGGAACTGTGCATCGTACCCTGATGTGCACCTCCCAAGAAGCCCACAGCAATTATGATTGGCCTGTTCAGCACCATCAATTCCTCGTGTTGATTTCGCGTTACATTTTTGTCTCAGCTTTTTAGTTTATTAGCGAAAGAATAACAATGATCGCCTCAGTATAAGGAGTAAAAAAAAAAAAAAAAAAAAATCATAGCATTAATATAAGTACTGACAAATATCAGCAGATTCCTGGCAGGAGATTGTTGATGTGTGTGATGTGTGTGCCTCCTCTTCATGTGTGAAAGCAGCTTGTAATCACTCTAAGATCTGATCACACTAGAAAAAGATGCTGTTAGTGATTAAGTGACAACAACAGCTCCTGTTGTGTGAAACGACCTATGCAAGACTTTTTAAAAAGCAATAAAAGAAGAGAAAAATAAAACCCTTAGTTGAAGAATATAAAGCAGTTGAAGCACAAAAACACCCTCAACTTTCATCTTGAGTTTCGATCTCATTTGGTTTCATTTTTTGTGTCTAGACACTGGTTTTGACTTGTGGTCAAAGAAATCCTGGTTTAAAGCTAAATGTACTGTTTTTCAATATTAAACAGAAACTAGAAAACTCAATTTTCTGGAGCCATTTGCACACATGCGCTGCAGCCCTGAGTTTTTCTAGGAATTAATGACTGGAGTGGTTGTGAAAGCGCAGATGTTCGATGCAGTCGGGTTGGACATTAGCTGGTATCTCACCTGCCAGCATCCTTCTACATAGTCCATATTGGGATGAGTCAGTGTGCAAAAAGCACAGCTAATAGACCGGCACATTCACCACTAGCAAGCGAGTGAAAAGTAAGCAGTCGCCTGCATGCTCCATCCAGGCTCCTCCCCTCACCTAAACCACATGGAGCATGGAGCATGGCTGAAGTGGATTATTTCCTGCTGCATACTACATGTGATACTGGGAAAAGCATCCCAACCTGATTCCTGGAAAAAAGCCCAAAGCTGATGAGTGAAAACTGCTCAGGTTAGACCTGTCCCAAATTCCACTCTACTACAAGGAGGCAGCACTACTTTAAAAAAAATAATTATAGGCCATAATAACAACCTCAAGTTTACATTTGGCTGCCCTTGCTAGTAGGCACCAAAAATACCAGTCAGTTAAATAATTGATTCTTGTTTCATTAATGTACAACACCAGTTAGACAGCTGCACCGGAAAATGACAGTGCCACATTAATGAGCTGCCAGAAACATCCTGAGCCAACAGGTCAACCAGCTCGTTCTGCACCTTTCCCTAAAGAGCAAAATCGCCAGTTGGTACTACAATCAAGAAGACTTCAGTGTGGCTCCAATGTGCATGTTAACCACAGCAGAATGTGACAAATTCATAAGGATTTCATGGACTACATCAGCGTTCTCTCAACTTAAAAATTAGGAAGTTATTTTGCAGGTTTAAATGGTGACATGACCGCGCCTTCAGGCCACATCAGACAGACAACTGCTGCATTATAAAAAGACAGCTCCCCTCCCAGCGATCATTAATTTCAATGACACCTCTTCCTTGACACAGAGGCATCCATGAAGCACACAGCTGCAGCTAAAAAGGAGGTGCTGTCCTGTAAAGAATGTAAGCCTCCCTCAACTTCTGCTACTTCAAAAATCACCAACTAATCACACAATCCTGCTTTGCACCCATCTGATACCTCTAATTTAATTTTTCCTGAAATTCCAACAGTATCACATCATCTTATCAGTATCTGTAGAACCTTGCACACACACACACACACACACTATTAGGACTGCTGCCGGTATATGACCTGTAAAGATGGGCAAGGACTGAACCAAAGGGGTGATACTGTGTCCATTTCCCATTACTGAATGTTCAAAGAAACCGTGTGAAGGAGGAAAAAGCGAAAGTAGCGCTGAAGCGGGTGAGATCAGCCTCGCTGAGCTGCAGCATGATTTGCAGGCGAGGGATTCTCCACGGTCGTTCAGCAGCTCATTTAGAGAGCTGCCCGAGATCATTTCCTGTCCAAGGAAAGAGACAAATGCTATATCTACCGGAGCTTCACTTACTATTGAGTTTTCTCATTATCAAGAAGCGCTATGCTTTAAGAGGTCGTATACTGCTCGCCTGTCCTGCAGGGCGGACAGTTTTATCAGACTGCCCAGTGGGACCATTAACATTGTTAAAACAGTGCAGAGATGCATGTTTCGGGGTAAAGAGGTCAAGCTTCGTGTTCTTTTGGCCATTTGTATCCATTAACCACTGATGAAAATGCAGAAATTTCACTGTAACGTTAGAAAACCTCGTTAGGTGTCATTGAATCCAGGTCAGAGGTCGGCGCTAAAGAAAAGCTGCAGGTAATTTAGGGTTCCCCTGCAAAGTCAGCAGAAACCCGATATGAAAGTAGACACTAAGAGGATATGTGGAGTGCTATGAAGCAACTATACCATGTGGTAAATGCAAGCACAGTTTGAGAGGCTCAGTGAAGTTAATTTAAAGTGAATCAAAGTGTTTTACAACCTAAATTAAAAGCTGGAGCTGTGACAGACAATAGCAGCAACTCACTTTAAACTGAAGTGCAGAAAAAAACAAAAAGAGTGAGTGAAAGCCCCATCAAGGAGAACCTGGCCTTGCCAAATGCTGCATCTCTTCCCTCTGTGATGATGTAAAGCATCAGAAAGCAGCTCAGCTGTTTAAACACAAGAGACATCTCAGGCGAATCAAAGCTATCAAGACTCCGAAAAACAGTGAAATTATTCACCCATCCAACATCAGGCAACGTTTTGAATCAAATGGCGTCAGTGAGGTTATGGAGGTCGACTTTCTGTTGCTGTAAGGTGCAGCTTGAATTCATCACTGGCATGATGAGCACTCTGGTTTCCGTGCAACAAAAGTCTGCTCAGTCTGACGGCCTGTGGTTTACAGTGAGCATGAGCATTGATTTGGTAACCTGCAGATCAAAAGATGTCTAGACGTCGATGCAAGAGGGAGGCTGAATTTGTTTTTTTGGCTTTTGTTTGTTTAGCGATTTTAAAAATGTGCCGCTGTGTGTAACAGTGGTTTCTGTGATGACCTTATTCCACTGTGAGACAGCGACGTCACACTTAAACGTTAAACTACAAAACTCTCCGTCTGACTGCTGTACAGGATTGTTTACACCATTTACAGAAATGAACAAATATTCAGTCTTTCATAACTTCTGTTTTAAAAAGAAGTTAAATGACCTTCTCAGAATTTAATATAAACAATTTCTCCCATTCTAGACTTTATACACTACATTACACTTAGCCATAGGATGCATATTGGACCAAGACAGCCTTCATCTGTTCTTAAAGAGGCAAAATCCTGCTTTTCAATTCAGATTTAAAGTAAGAAAGGACAAAGTTTCCCCTCCAGCAGATGAAGACGACAACAGGCTTGTGCACATAAAGCTCTTAGTGCGAACAGCAAGTGAGGAGTGGGTTTTTTGACAGTAGGGTGGCTCCAATGCAGACAAAACGAAGGCATGATTTCACAGACTTTTGAACCTTTTTTTTTTACCCTTATCTAAACTGTGAATACTGGAATGTGCACGTGCATTTCTGCTCAAACATCCGAACCATGAGCAGATTTCTCAAAATGAATTTGCCTGTCAGTGCACCCCAGGGTGGCTGTGGCTACAATGTAGCTTGCCATCACCAGTGTGTGAATGTGTGTGTGTGAATGGGTGCATGACTGGATGTGTAAAGCGCTTTGGGGTCCTTAGGGATTAGTAAGGCGCTATAGAAATACAGGCCATTTACCATTCTTTTTAAATACTAACCAAACTTTTAACTGTAACTAAATATGGCATATGTATGTAAGAAAATGTGATCATGCTTTTTGATTTTTCAACCAAATTCTGACAACAGGCATGTGCACATAAATCTCATCCAATTTAAGAGCACATTTTCTGACAATAAGATGGTTGGTTACATTTAAAAACGGCTTGATTTGACAGGTTTTGACACAAAAACTTTGTCTGTGACCGTGCATATTAATTCCTAACAAAACTGGACCCACTTCTCACCTAGACACAACCTGCAATCACCCACAGCATGCTTCCCAGGCTGCAGATTCCCCTCGTGGTGTAAAGTTAAGGGAAACCCTCGCATCTAAACCTGGATTCAGTCCAACTGACTCCACCATACTAAAAGGCTTGTGTAAAGCTGATCCTTATCCGCATCTCCCCCTACACACACATACACATATGTACGTACAAATAAAAGCGCTGCACAGACTTGTTGGCTGCACGCCTTCCCCCTCACAATGTCACCCAGGGTTTGCTGCAGCAGGAGCAGGAGGAGCAGGGTTGTGAGGGGCGACATCCACCCAGAGTGAAAAGAAAAGGCATCAACTTTGTGTCTCCATTTAATCCGAACCTCACACACAGATCCTCCTCTGAACTTTGGACAGCAACAACAGCAGGAGGAGAAGGAGAGGGAGGAGGTGTTGGAGGTGGTGAGCCTAATGGTGGACCATGAGCTGTTTCCTTCAAGAACATTCCAGTTCACTGGGAAGCAAAAACTGGTGTTTGGTTTAGAAGAACAACAGCATTTAAACATGACGAGACAGGCAGACAGGCTGCTGCCAGAGCCTCCTCTCCGGGACGGCTAACCGTGTGCATCCTGGATAGCATTAAAGCCACCTTTACGGCACACTTTACCTCCTCAAAAATAACCCCCATCCCCGGTCTGCAACTGCAGGGCCCGGTCATACACCACCACCACCACCACTACCACACACACACGCACACACAGGCACATAACACAACACGTATAGCGTGCCCCGTAGCACCAAGCGGAAAGAGACAAGCAAAAAATGTAGAGGAGGGGGTGCAAACCGGGACCGTAAACCGGCCACACACCCGCCGAGCACGGACATATGAGGAGGAGAAGTGCAGGTAGACGAACTAACCTGTTTGGGAGCAGCACGGTCCGTTGGATGTTAGGTTGAATCCGAGTTAAATCCACTATCAGTAAAACAAAGAGGCGAAAATGACCGAGCGGTCGCGGAACAGGCCGAAACTGTTCTCTCGAAGCGGCAGAACGCATGCGCAGAGCGGCCAAGCGACCGAGCCGGAGGCGGTAGAGTCGGGGGAGGGGGGAAGAGGGGCGCGAGTTGAACGAGGGCGGCAAATTTCTGAAAATCGATCCGCTGATTCTGTTATTGATTATCGAGTCGCACCATTTTCTTTATTATGGGTTTATAAGCTGTAAATACTTTATTTATTTGAATTCTTTCATATTAATCAATAAAAATTTATAGCAACACCAGGTTGCACTTCATAGGTGTCAAACATAAGGACCGGGGGCCAGAATCGGTCCGTCAAAGACTACAGGTGGGTCAGTGGAAGGCTTTTGAAAATGTAAAGGAGTGCATGGATTTTGGACTTCTAAGTGTATTTTCATAAGTTTTATGGCATTTATTATTATGTTTTACACTACCTGCTTTAGAAATTTCGGTTTAAAAAACAGGAACATTTCCTTTGAATTACCTAACTTCATGGTTTATAAATACAAGATAGTCTGGTCAATGAGCTACCAGAACGTTTTCTGTAACTGACACATTTATCATGTAGATTAACTGAGACCTGCTGTTGAAACACTTCTTTTTTTCTTATCATAAGAAATCACGGGAATTAAATGTATAGTTTAATGTCTTTACATTGACAGAACGCAGAGTTTCAGTGGTCTATTCCACTTAAAAAATAATAAAAGTGATAAAAGATAAAAGTGGGAATAGTTTAGAATTTTGTATATGTTCACTTTTTATTTTTTATTTTTAATGTTATTTTTATTTAAGAAGTCAGCAGTGCAGTAAAAACAAGTGCAAAGTCCAAGCTTTTGTTATCTGATGTGCTGAAATCTATTTTAATATACTTTAAATCATTATGTAGCACATACATCGCATTCATTTAATTATTTAGTAATGACTATTAAGTGACAAAAGTCTTTAGGACACAGTTTTGGGTATTTTCTAAAACTTTCCACTCGTTCAGGAAAATTATGAGTGTATTAAAAATGTTATGTATTTAAACAATTATAACCTCTTACTGTAATGTAAATAACAAATTCTAATAAAATAACATAATCGTTATCATCCTCATATAGCATTCTCTGTTGTCAGCACAAACAAGGTCAGTGAGAAAGATAAATAGCTCCATGTAGCATTATTATCATCATTATCACTTTGACCATCAGGTGAATTCTTGACCTTTAAGGAGAGGTCAGAAGTCATGTGATATTTTAAATCTATGTATTGTTGATGCACATTGCGCTTCTAAGACTCATAGTTTATAAGTTATAAGAGGTTTTTGACCAATAAATCAGTAAGTTGAATTTGAAGGTTTTGTTTGCCTCCAGCTCTTTTGGAATGACACCAGGACATCAACTAAACCAGCTGAGAGACATATTCTCTCCAGCGTATCCTGGTTCTGCTTGGGGGCCTCCTCCTGCTAGGATATGCCCAAATCACCTCACCATGTAGGCATCATCAGCAAACTGAAAAATGGTTCCTTTTGGGGCGTAGATTGTCACCTTATTGCATCAGAGGGGTTTGTGATACTTGACAGCTCCCATGAGCTGTGTTGTCGAAAGCAATTTGTCTCTGGTAGGCTCTCCTAAGGGAAACTCCACCAGGACTTCACATGGCCTTAAGTGAAGCACAGGAGCCCATCTTTATGGGGGCCCTCTTCCCACAGAAGGCTAGGTGTTATGTGGATCAGGCAGTGGCCCTTATCCTCTGTTGTCCAGGATCCAAAACTGGTTCCAGGGCAGCAAACCATCAATTTTTCTTAATTGTTCTTGGTCAAATTACTTTTGAAGCTTCCTTTATTTTGGGTTCTATATAAAATAGTCTAATCAGTTCTCAGTAGAAAATCTGTTGGGGTTGTAAAATTGTGCTTTAATTTCTCTATGTAAACAAATAAACCTCCATCATATTATAATTTAATAGACAATTCTTTAAAATATTCTATGGTTTTAATTTTTTTTCTGTCTGTTGATTAATGTAGGGTCGTCTTCTTCTTGCACAGAAATGATGAAGCTGGAAGCCAAAAGGGACCCTGCACATTTCTCTAAAAAGAGGCTAATCCAGCCATGGAAATAAGCCAGTAATAAGAATAAGTTTTGGGGATGCCAAATTGTGGAAAATCCTTCTTCTTTACAGCCCTTTTGTTTTTAAATTCATAAGTGAGACCACCTGCAGTGCTCTCTTAAACACCTACCAGAAATCTGGATCAAAATCTGTTTGTCAAATCGCTTGAGATTTACAACAGCAGACTTCAACGATGATCTGTACAAGATCATAAATGGCTGTTTATTATTTATAAAAAAACACATATTATTGGCTCACCAACATTTTTAACTGCATTTCATTTTAGTCATGATAACAGCTGATCAAAACTGTCCCTGAACTTACAAATGTCTTCAGGTTAATGGATAACATAACACCTCTGCAATTTACACCAGGTGAAATAAATGAAAGCAGAACTGATCTGATCTGATTTCTCACTTTCTTTCCACGCGACTTTCCTGTGAATCAGAGCTGCAGAACTGCCACACTGAGTCACAGAGGGTTAAAGAGAGGGCGGAGCCTGTGGTCATGTGCCGTCAATAAGGACAAAAGAGTGAAGAGTTCTCACTCTGCTCCTGCTAAAAGAAAAAAAGTTTGCAGTAGTGCAATGGTGAGTCACGTCGACTGATTTGCTGACGCAAAGACATTCCTGGGCACACAAACTTGTTACAGCACGGCACATTTATTTTGTGCATGCAAAAAAAACCCCCGAAATTACAAATTTACCTTCATATAAAACTGCTTTACACCTTCATTTAGACACGTAAATGGCAAAGACTCCAAGACAACCATACATTTTACAACACTTTTGATTAGTTTGATTAGTCTAATTCACTTCATCAACATACAAAAGACAATAACTTGTATCTCAAGACTGAGTTAAATACATTATAATTTCAGTGCTATGATTTTAAAAATGTTTTCAGTGAATGGAAGTCTTTTCACTGTGTGTTGTTTGATTTTTACATCAGTTTTTTTTAGAATAAATAGCTAAAAAAAGACAGTCTTTGTCACTTTGAATAACAAATTAGAGTACTACATTTTAGTTCTGCATTCATTCTTTTCTGTCATGTTAGTCATATTTCTGATTACTCTTAAATAAAATAATAAAATAACATAATCTGCATGTCAGCGCTGCTTTTTGATGGCAAGTGTTACACATTCCGCAGGTGCAATGTGAACGACACTTGAAGCCTGAAGAAGTGACCTTTGCCAGTTTATGCTGTGGTGCAATATGTGGAATCGTTGTGTGCATGCTCATTTTTTAATCTTGTTGACACAAATTTAACTGTCGCCACTTAATAGTCCCCCCCCCCAGCTACAAACTTAGTGTGGTTCATGTAGACTGGTCACATCTGCCAAGCTGATCAAGTCCATGGGTGAGACCAGCAAAACCATTGCATGCACATGTATGCTAAAATGCATGGATTACAGAGGATGGAGAAAATCCCTCAAAACCCTCAACAGTAACGAACAACATCATTACTTCCTTATGATTCAACCTTAGATCTGGAAATATCTTAAATGTACATATATTTTAACACCGATGCAGGGTGCAGTTTAGCACTGTTTCATCACAGCAAAAACAACTTCCTGGTTTAAACCACCTGGCCACTTGGGGCCTTTCGGAGTTAGTTTGCATGCTGTCCTTTTGGCTGCACGGGTTTTCTACAGTTTCCTTATACTGTCCAAACATACATGCAGATTAACTGTCTCTCTGTATTAGCCCTGTGATGAACTGCTTACCTGCCCAAGGTGCACCCCACCTTTTGCCCTATGTCATCTAGAACAGGCTCCTCCTGCAACCCCTAACTGCACAAGTATTTAAGAAGGGTGGGTGGATGGATGGGTGTGGAATGCTAGTACACCCCACAGCAAAAGTAACACTGCATTGAGTTATTAATGACTTCTCTGCAATTTGGAAATTTTGCAAAGCCACTTGGTGAGCTGGGTTGGCCGCTTTGGCAGGCCGATCTTGGCCTTTGACACCCTTGGTTTAGTCTATTACACCAGTACACATTAACGTTTAATTTATCTGTGTTTATCCTTTATTAAATGATAAACGCAGTCCAAAATTTTGCTTAATTGAATCTTTTAGATTTTTTCTAGACTTGAAATGTATTGAGAAAAAAAACATACAGATCAATGTTTCGGAAATTATTAGAAGTGATTTATTATTTATTTATCGTTTATGAAGGCAAGACTCATTCAGTTTGAAGAACCTTTTTTTAAGTTCTGCATGCTGACAGCGCTTTTCTTCAGGGCGGAGTGGCTCATCCTCTCAGTCGAAGATCTTTATAGCTCCCTGATTAATGTTCAGACGATTGCTGACTTTTTCCAGGCTTCAAACTGAGTTACCGGCTTCTGTGTGAGACACAAAATGTCCTTACAGTCTGTCGGGAGACAGCAGGATGGATTTATATCTTGTTTACTTTAGTAGACATACACCATTTCTCAGGTTTCTGGGATTTTTTGACCAAAAGCGACCGAAACTTCGGTGCTTGTTCAACTTCTGGGAGCTAAGCAGCTATTTGGCTTGACCAGTTAACTTGTCATAATACTAGTAATAATAATAATAATGGATAATAGCGGCGAAGTCTCCAACGACATTCGGACTGTTTACGCTGCTGTTTCCAGAGAACCAAACTCTGACCTGAAGAATGGACAGCTTTTCAAACTTTACAAGAGGAGGTGGTTTGTGCTGCTGGTGTTGTGTCTCCTAAACTGCTCCAACGCAACGGTGAGTCTGTGAAAGGTGAAACCAGGTGTGTTTATGAATACAGGTAGACACGGGACATGTGGTGTTCCCCCTATATGTTTGTTTGACTTGGTATAACTCCCCGGTGGTGATGTTAGTGTTAAACAGGGTGTGCTGAGTTCCTCCCGCAATCGTTCTCCTACTTCCTGCTTCCACGGGACTCCTCTTGCCTATGGGAGCTATTGTTCCGAGGAACAGGTGTCCCCACTTCCCGTTTAAGGCCCTCAGGCCATAGAGAGTCATTCCGTGGCTGATAAATAAGGCTGATAAGCAAACAAGATGTAAATCTGTGCAACAGGGTTGACAAGTACAGTGTGCCAGAGGCGGAGCTAAAAGGGACACATGGGGTGGCACTGACATCCTTTTGTACCCCCACCCCAACCACACGTCAATGCAACCATGGATAAAGGACTAATCGGACGCCCAAACCACTTCAACGGCTTAATTTAGTCTTGCACGGTAATTAACCCTTTAAGACCTACCATAGAACCAAGTCCACCAGAGCTTATATTATATTTTTACCTGCTGTGGAGCCATTTTTGGGAGCATTTCAAGTTGCTATACATCAATACAACCATTATAGCCCACATTTTAATAATATGTATTCATTAAGTGCATAGTAATTACATAAATTGCAAAAAAGTGCAATAAACTACAAAAAAATTGAAAATCGTTTTTGCTTTTTTAACATATATTTGTAGTTAGAGAAATTTAAGAGGCTTATCCCTCAAAACTGTAAATACAAAAAAGTTGCACAAAATAGTTTCCCACCACAGGAAATTTATTTTGAGTGTCTTCATAGTTTTATTTTTGAAATACACCAATTTTTATACACTGCAGGAAAAACGAAAATAAATATTATACTGCAAATTTGCAAAAAAGCAGCATATGCATCAAAATAAACTATTTCCAGCAGTGCAATATGAGTCCTAAGCATCCCAGAAACGACACAGAAAGTCATAAAGTCAAAGATAACTTTTAAAAAGACGAGTATAGGCTCTGAGGCCCTGATAGTAAAAAAGACTACATTTCCGCGAAAATGACGTCACTTCTGGTTTCGGGCAGGTAATGGCGGAAATGCAAAAGTTTGCGCTGACGTCTATTCCAATGTAGGAAGTGTTATGAACAGCTGATCGGACCGGCACAGCGTGTTTCTGGAATATTATGTTTTTGTTCCTGCAAGCGCTTTTTATGCAGTTTTTGCAAAGCTTTATGTGGAAGGAAACCGTGACCTAGGACAAGCTGATGGCATAAGATGTAAGTACAACTCCTCCGGTTTCATATGCAAAAAAATTTTTTGCGCTAGCTTACGTGGTTGCAGTGCTACCGGGATTTAAAAATAGTTACGCCAAACAGAGCGTGCCCGCTCCGATCGGCTCTAAAGGGTTAAAGGGGAGTTTGAAAATGTTAATCATGTTTTCAGTAATTAAATGTTGCATAAAGCCCTTTTTGCTTTAATATAAGCATCCACATATCTGTGCAGAGTGTACACCTGAAACTTATGTTACAGACCCTGACCAGTGCATTTATATGTGTTAGAAAAATGTTTGCTCCCATGTTTCTATTTTCATTATATCATGTTTTCCCTATATGATGACAGTGGAGATGAGAATTGATGATATGTTGTGGTATCTATAGAAAATCTGATAAAATTAAATGAAACTAGGAATCCTAATATTCCCTAACATTATTTATTTCATTTTCTTAACTTTATTAATTAATTATTGTCCCTAATAAGACAAATAATAAAGAAAAGAACAGCAACAAACTAGAGAAGGAGCCTGTGAGTCAACGTGCAGGGTGCGATATCACAGTTTCTTTTTAAAGTAGAGAAGATGGAAAATCTGTAATTGCATTAAGAATTAATTTTACAACCTTGTCTGGTGTTTTATTCCACGACATAACAACAGCTGTGACTCAGACTACCTTAGTGGGTTTATTGTGGGAAGTGAGTTTTTACTCAGCGTGTCAGCGAAGTTTCCACAGTGACAGAAAAGTGAAAGCTGTTAGCGGTTGTTTTCTTCCTGCAGTCATTCATAAAGTGTGCACATAAGCTGTGGCTTCTCTTAAGCAGGTACTGAAAGAGAAGTGATCTGTAAGCCTGACGGAGCTGCTGTTGGAGTCTTTACAGAGTTAACAGGTGAACATTTCTGCCCACGGTGTCATGACAAAGAATAGAGTTTGTTGCTTAAGAGCTTACTAGAATGATCAATCAAATATCAACGTGCTGGGCCTGCAATGTAAGTCCCTCTTAAGTTAAAGTTCAAATTATATTAATAATAATACTTAGAAAACAGAAGGTCATAAACCAGTTCTTCTAATGCAGTTTATTTCTGTTTGTTAGTTTATTCTAACAGACCTTAAAAGGTGCTACAAACATGGAAAAACATAATCCCAAGTCATGAATAATCACAAATCTAAGCAATTTTATTTTATCATCTAACAGTTTTTACAAATTGCAGATAAAAAATTTGTTAACATATTTAAATTAAAACATTTTAAATATTGAAATTAAAGTTTCACTTGTGACAAGATTGCATTAACTGTAATCTCTGCAGATAATTTAGGATTTTTCATTTTTAGCGTGTTAGCATCACATGTTGCCTAGAGGTGGGAATCACCATACATCCCACGATACGATATTATCACAATACTTAACGCACGATACGATATTATTGCAATTTTTAAAAATATTTTGCGATATTCAGATTCTGTACATAAAGGTAAACGTTATCAATATTCATTTTATCTAATAACAAAGTCTGCACTCAGTCTTTCTCTCATTTCAGTCAGTTTTATTGCTGACAAACTGAACGGTTTGTATTACAGTCTAGTCCAACTTAACTGAATGCAACCATCTGGTACAATTATAGCTATTCTGAACTATGCAATTTATGAAAACTATGCAGCCCCTTCAGCAACTGAAGAATTTGAAAGTAAATTAAAACAAAATATAATTTTACATAAAATAAAAAAAAGTTTTAAACTTAATTAAAATAAAACATGTCTTAAATTAAAATAAGTAAACTATCATGTTTATTGCTGCCAAAAAAAAGTTAAACACATTTGGACAGTGAAGGAATGTCAGGATTCTTGCTCAGAAAAAGGATCAACATGCTCTGAAGTCAGAGCACAAAAACCTTTTTTGTAACAAAATATCGATTTCTGCTGTCCCTGTATCGATACATTATTAGCAAACAAAATATCACGATACTACACAGTATCGATTTTTTCCCCCCACCCCTAATGTTGCCTACAGTTATTGTGCACGCCTTGATGCTTTTTAGGTGTCTGAGTCTGCATGAAATCTAAATTTAGCACAGTTTGAAACATGGAAGCGTGTGGGATTGAGAGGAAGCGATACTCTGATCTGATACGACCTGTGAAATAACAAAACAGGGGCATGTGTGAAAACAGTTTCTAGAAGCATTCCTCCCTGCTGGGGACAAGACTAGCATTGTGTGTTCAAATCAGCTGACCAGCTCCCGCCAGCTCGGCATGAATTAGGATTTGTTCACCGTCCACACAATAGAGGACAGGACTGGTACTGCCTTTGTGGTCTCGGTGTAGAGTTTACAGGTCAAATTCATTCAGTTTGTTTGTGCATCAGGCCAAAAATACACACATACACATGTGCTGCCTGTTTCCAGGTGAATTATAGGTTATATGTGTAGTAAAAAAAAAATCATGGATACGTTCCTTTTTAAACATGTTTAAATAAGCGTGACATTGGATTCTGTCTGAAAAGGTGTTACACACACGGATAATTTAAACCTTTTAAGCAATAGAAGTATAAACATGTCCTGGTTTGTCCTGAGAAGCTACAATTATTAAGTATTTTATATGTTTGTCATGAAAATAGGACTTCTTTATACAAATTCAGGTTAGATTCGAGATATTTCAGCTATTTTTAGTGCACTTTTTAGTTGCTCTACACGAAAATCATCAGTTACAGTGACAACATGGTGATGTTTATCAGGTACAATTCTTGTCATGTAACACGGTGTAGTCTGACGCACAAGTCTGGCAAAATCTCAGCGGGAGTGTGGGTAGCTCCTACTGCTTAGTACGTGTGCACATTAAAGTTTCAGCTTCTTCTTCTTCTGCAGATGAATTCACATTCAAGACTTTTCGCAGTAAAGCCCTACTTTAAAAAAAAGTCTGGAGGAGTTTATTAGCAGAGAAATGCAATCGCAGCAGCAATTTTAAATAATCAAAGATGTCATTATTATGTGAATACATACAGCTCCTACATTTACAATGAGTTTATTTATTACATTTATTACATTGGTTTACTATCTAGCAGGAGAGCAGCTGTTGTTTCCTTTTTGTCAGCACAGCATGTGGTTTTAGTCGTAGCTTATAACCGGCTTACACAACCGCAGCTCTTTTTTTTTTTTTTGAAGTATTTTTCATCCATGAGGATTTTCCCACTCATGTCTCCGCTTTTGATCGACAGCAAAACTGCAAAGACTAATATAATTTACCGACTTTGCATTCAACTAGAAGTTACAAACCTCAGGTCTTCACTCAGTTCCTTGGACTTTCCCATTGTTCTGAGTGTTGGTCAATCCCATAAGTGTTGTCAAAAAAGTAGAGAAAATAGAAACTACCAGTTGAAGTCAATTGTTAAGTTCAAGTTAAACGAAATTGTAAAACCTTCAGCACCACTTATTAAAAGATTTGAGTGAGTATAAGTGTATATGTGAGCCTGTGTAGATTAGAGAAAATCCAAAATAAATTCAAACTTGTGCACCAAGTTCATAATTTTTTAAAGCCATCAAACATTTATGCTGTAGAATCATTTCATCCTGGAAAAAGAACAGTTCAGAGAAATCACTGACAGCCCAAAATGAACATGACATTCATGCCCATGATGGGTGCATAAATAACCTTCTCACCACAAATGTAAGTGCTTCAACATTGTTCTTGAATAAATGTTGTAGGCCTCTATTGATAAACTCACTCTCATTCATCCACAATCAAGGTGAAATATGAGAGAATTTTCTAAAGGCTGAAGTCTTTTTGTTGAACATGTCTTTTCACCAGCTCAGCACAGCATTGCAGCTTTGTCCAGCTTGTAGAGTATGATGAAAGTGTCCTATTATTTCCTGTCTCATGCATGCTAAGTGGTGTCATGTGAGGGCAGACACATGACACTAGGAACATAAAGAATAGAAATCATCTCCTTCTCATGTGAGATGAGCATGTCTTGTCACTTCCTTTCTTTTTCTAAAGTTGTGTCCAGATCACAAGACTAAAACAGGCTCCAGGAATCTGATCACTAAAGTGCACCTGCTTTAGGAGGAGTGACCACTAAGATGATGTACTGAAATAGGGATGCTTTGTATATGTCATGTAATCGATGATGTCTAACAGAGTGGTTGTTAAATATCCACCTAAATGATTTGTACCTGACTGGCACTGTGATAAAGCACTTTAGTGTAATTATTCTCCACCTGCACAAAACTAAGCTGACAGCACTGAATGGAAAGCAGCTTCTGAAATATCCATGTTGGCACGCTGCTGAAGTAAACCTTCGGTTTTACCTTTTTTGACAGAGCTGACATTTTAAATTGCTGGCTGGAGTCACTGCAAACCTTTACACAATGCAGATTTACAAAAGGTCGTTCAGGCTTTGCCCCGTCTGCTGTGGTTTTTCTACGATGGATCTAAACACGCAGCCTGGTCTCATATGCCATACTTATCATATATCAATATATAGAAATGCACTGATCATATTTATATCAGGAATACAGCCAGATCTATCAGGTCTAATGTAGTATCAGTTATATTTACTCCTTAATTTCTTTAAGTATATATGTATTTTTATACACTTCTTTTATTTAAGTGATTTTGTATTGCTGTCCTCATATAAAAAAATAAAATTATTATTTGATTTCCCTGAAATGTTGCCCTGCCACATTTAGTTTGAACACTTTGTATAAACGTCAGCCATTATTTTGCATTTTTTTTTGTCCTTTTAATATTTTGTACAAAATCTGAATGAGTGATAATCTTCATAAAAGTAATTCATTGGACCTCCTGCACTCTCACTTATATATATGTAGCTTTCCATACTTAAAAAAAAAAAAAAATCTTGGTGTCTCCTCAGATATGGCTTACCTTTGCACCAGTGGCGAACCAGTCTGCCCAGTACCTGAAAGTTACTCTGGACGAGATCAACTGGCTATCACTGGTCTACATGGTGGTGGCCATACCACTCAGCTTTGCAACCACTTGGATGCTGGATACTCTTGGACTGAGGATAACGGTACCAACTGCTTGTTTTTTTTGTTAATATTATATGTTTTAGTATGAGATGGTAAACCTCAGAGCACAGTGTGAGGTTTATTCTAAACTATGGAACACAAAGTTTTAAGTGAGTAGTGAATGATTTTAGAAGAGAGAAGAAACCTTCCAGGGGAGGATTTTAATGGTTTAGAGCTAGTGCTGTATGCGTGCATATAAACATAGGCTTGATGGAAATGGGTACAAGTTAAAAATGAATGAAGCCTGAGATATGGCCATTATATGCTCCTTTCATCCTGGAGTCATCTCCCAGGAAAAATGCTGTACAGGAAATTGTCCTGCAAATTTGATTTGTTTAAAGTAAACAGAAGATGAAGTGAACTGATAAACGCAGCAGTCAGACCGGATTCAGCTTCCCAATAACCAGTTCAACCAGCCATAGGAGAGGGAGAGGAGGCGGATGACCTCTGAGTCAGGAAAAATGGATCGCTACCTCCAATAAGCACGCAGGCCATTGGCAGCGGTAATGTTTGTTAGCATGTCTGATAACGAGATTATGCAGAAACTGCAGGAAACTTTGGAGATGAGGTGTTCATGAAGGAATTTATTATTTTTCTCTGAATCTAGTGACACATAATACAGAGTAGGTGACCTGCGACTGAGCGCCAGTGAGTGCAATGACTCTGACACCGGTTAGTTATAGTGGCATGATTAATAAAACTATGAGTAATTGAAAATGTTGTGGACTGCTGTTTTTAGCCCAGAAGGCATGCAAACCCCTACCATTTATATTTGTCACTTCACCCACATGACATCCTGTCCCACCTGCTTCTGACCACACCATGCAAGCTAGTTTTACTTCGTGAATCTGAGATTAATTGCACCTTTTTAAAGATGAAGACCTCCCACTGTCTTGGACTGATCTTTGAGAAGACCTTCTGAAACTGTCTGACAGTTATTTCACTCCCAGATATGAAGGATTTTCTCGTAAACTTTCACCCTTCTGTCCTCTGACTGTCACAGCTGATCCTGGGTGCCTGGCTGAACATGCTCGGAGCCGTGCTGCGGTTCCTCGGCACGCTTCCGGGTGAGAGTTTTAAAATCCAGTACCCGATAGTGATGTTGGGACAGACCCTCGGCGCCTTGGCTCAGCCCCTCATTGTTTTCGCTCCCACCAAGCTGGCAGCCCTGTGGTTCCCCGACCATCAGCGGGCCACAGCTAACATGATCGCCTCGATGGGTGAGCGATTTTACCTTTCACACCTTCAGTACAGCATCTACAAACCTGTGCAGATGTTCTGCTGTGTGTTAGTCATGTGCATGTCAAACAACAAAGGAGCAATACTCTTTTTATTTTATTTTTATGCCAAAAAAAAAATCTGTTATGGCAGTTTTAATTAAGGAGTTCACAGAATTTGGCTTTTGAAGCATTTTTAAGTTTATACTTTCAGGCAAATTCACACAAAAAAAAAAATTCAAATATTTTTGAATTTGATAAATAAATGTAGACTTTTTTCCAAAGTTAGTTTGAAATTCTAGAGTGTAAATAAAGCCAGTGAAAAGGAAACAGACAGAGATATAAGGTATAGAAATATAAAGGATAATAGTCTGTACAAAGATGGAGGTTTAATTAGAAACCACTTTATTTTTATGTTTCTCTCCATGTTGGTTTTCTGGAATAAAAATGACCAGTTTTGATGATGGATCGGCATAAATTAAATGACTGCATCGAACTGATAAATACCTGTTAAAAATGCTGAGTAACAATCTAATCTAATCTTCTTGGATGCTTAAAATAACTACCAAAAAAACATCAATCAAAGCAGCCAAACACCAAACTTTGAGCCTTTTTGAACCAAACCCTGGCTACAGCTGTTATGAAGCTGGAAGTTATCTATGAAGGTCAGATCTTTAACACTGGAGTCTGTGGGCACTGAGTTGTGGCTCCTGATTGTGGTGGTTCTAGTGTTCTTGTGTAACATTTGGGCAAACTATGGCCCGAGGGCCAGAACTGGGCTGTGGACCATCTCAGTCTGGGCTCTAATGTTCACAAAGCAAAACTAAACAACCTCAACCCTCGTGTGTTTTCTGCAATGAGATAAATGCATTTGCTCTAGTGGTAAATACATATAAATGAAACCTTCATACAGCATTTAAATGGATTGCTTTATGTTACAGCACAGCATATAGACAGAAAAAAGTCTAGATTTCCTCATAGAAAGTTCTAGGACCTGTTCTAACTTGTTGGGTGATAATTTTTCATCATTAACACTTTTACTTTTCACATGATTTATTCCTGAGGGAATATTTTTTCCAGCTTTCATGGAATTTCTTGACAGCAGGAATAACAGAGCTAATTTTGTCTTTGTTGGCCACCTGCTAACTGTGCAGTTTTAGAAATGTGAGGGCTGCTGATGGTGGGCTTTTACCCCTCACCTGTAAACGGCCGATGGGGTAATGTTGTGATGCGGGCAGGACACCCAAGTTTGTAACTGCGATAACTCAACATAACTCTTGTGAATGCATGAACTTGAGAACAAGGCTACGTAACATTCTAGCCACCACCACCACCATTTTTTATTTTCTTTATTTATTTATTTTTAAATTTTAATATGCAATAAATAGAAAATACACAATTAAGGACAGGGAGACTTCAAAAGTTGTCATGTTTCTTAATCCTTTTGGAGTTTTAATGGGTAAAACTACTGTAGTTAAATAAAGGCTGGTTTGATCATCATGGTCATTCTTATTTTTTGCGTTGTGCTTATGCTCCCTGAAGGTTTGCTTACAAAGCGCTTTCATTTTAGCATGTCAGCAAACTCCTGTGTGGACGCAGCTGTTACATTATTAAAATGACTGCTAACAAGGTCTATTGATGCCTATGATCTATATGTATGCCTGTTAAAGACATTAAAATGGGAAGCTGATGTTAAAGGGTGATTAAAGGTCAGATATGTTGCTCAGATGTTGTGTTGTGAATGAAACGGGGAACAGAAAGTGATATAGGACAGCAGTAAAACTCCACTTCTCTTTTTTTGTCCTCAGCTAATCCCCTGGGAATCCTCCTCGCTAACATCATCTCTCCTGTGATGGCTGAAACATCTGCACAGATCCCAAAGCTGGTGAGTTTAACAAAGAAACCTTTGGTGTTCAGAAAGCAGAGTAGTCTGTGATGCTTATAATAAATGAGAACACCAGTAATCGGACAACCGGGTTTGGCTGGTTCATAAAAAGATTTGTGAGTGTGAAGGACATTGGTGGTTGTGACAGATCCCCAGAATATTACAGGACAAGTGCTCCAATACACTGATTAGCCACAACATTCAAAGAGACTCCTGTCCTCGGGGAGTGCTTTTTTTTTTTTTTTCTTTTTTTTTTTTTTTTAAAACCCAGATCTACACTGTATATTAAAGATGATGGAACCTCCTAGCATCCACTCAGACAACAGAAAGTCAATGATGGCAACCAACTTCAAATGACGATGGTTAACATAACTGCCGGCGAGTGGGCGGGTCCTGATTTACATTTTTCTCAGCTTTGAGGCGAGCAAATTGAAGTGACTACTGATATATAAGCAGGTGGCAGTTACATTAGGCAACTAGAGCGTGGATTATGCACTATAGCCAGCAGGGGGTATGTCCTCTAGTCTAGCCGGGTTATTTTATAGGTTATTATAGTTTGTAGTTACACACGGCTGTTCATTCTGTAAATTTAAGTCAAAGCAGACATTAAACGGGGTAGCTTTATTGTTGTGATTCATGAATCGTTACCATAGAAGCGTAAACCACTCTTCAGTTTCTCAGATCAAAACTTGGATGGCAACGGCTAAAACGCTCAGCTCGAGTCATCAAAAATGCGAAATGTCCATCATTTATATACAGTTTGTGTCCCAAGCATAAAATTGTATTAATAGAAAATGATTAATGTTATTCATTTCACCTGTCACTGCTTTTAATGTTGTGGCTTGTCAGTGTACATAAAACTGAAATATGGCTCTGGTCACCTCGGCTGCTAACGATGATAAATGGTGTTTGATTTAAGCTGCAGTCACCCATTTATCATCACAATATTTGTTTTTCCTTTTCTTCCGCTAACCCTTCTTGACTAGTAACTGTCTGGTATGGGCGAAATTATTAAAACCTTTAAAAAGCTCTTGTTTTGGATTTAGGTGATTGCTACAGAGAACTGTGTGACTGCACCTTCTCACCCTGCACTCTGCCTCTGATCTCCTCACCTTCTAATGATGATAAATTGTGTCAGATAAGGTGCAATCACCCATTATTCTTTACGTTATGTGTGTTTCTCTCCTCTTCCAGCTTCTAGCCTATGCAATACCGACATGCATCATCTGTGTCCTAGCGACAGTGGGGATACGCAGCAGTGCCCCCCCGACGCCGCCCTCAGCCAGCGCAGAGACCTCCAACTCTGAGCCGTTTGTACAAGGGATCAAGCTGGTAAGAAAACACAAAGCAGAAAAACACTTCTAAACATTTGAGTGCAAACAGAGCCTGAGGTGTCTCATCGAGCCATATTTACTGATTTCCTGGTTAACTGATATTTCAGTTATTCTAATCTCTGAAACTGAAGATTCATTTGGCTTTAGAGTGAATTTCAGTTCACAGTTCTGTTCAGTTCTGGCCCTCAACTTTACTGTTGTTTCACACTTTGGATCTGTTATTAGTGTGGTCAAAACTGGCCTAGTATCATGAATAACAAACTAAAGACCTCCGCTTCCTGTGAGCCTAACCATGGAGGGGTGTTTAAGATGTTTTTAGACATATCCTACAACTGTTAAGCTAGTCCTGCCTGTAATTATCTTACTGTTACAGTTAGTCAGTATTTAAGCAGATAAAAACAACGTGAAAAGGTTAAGAGTCGAATTAAAGATATTAAAAAACACAATCCAGGTAAATGTTATAACTTCAGCTGCTCGGCTGATTTATTTCTGGTGAAAATGTAGCTTAGCACTCTTCATGTGAGATTTTCTTTTCTTTTTTTGCTGTAAGTGATTATGAATTTTAAAAACTCAAATGTCTAAAATATTTAATTACATAACTATATAATATTCTTTCCATACACGTGTTTAGAATAGACAGCGATTATAAGTGATCATTAGCCTGTTCTGCATCTCCGTCTGATGGTTTAACCCCACCACCACTCCAGCATCCACCTGCATGCTCCTGCAGTGTAATTACTCCCCTTAATTTCTCTGCATGTCATTTTTGTACAGAGTGACGCCAAACTGGAGTTATATTATTCTTTAAGCTAAAATGTCAAAACTAATCAAACAAGCTCCTAAATGACGTGACAACAAAACCTGAGGTATCTACCTCTGTCATTACTGGTACACTTCAGCAAATGTAATGATAAACTCGGATAAAGCAACTTTTGCTTTTTTGATACCATCCATCCATTCGCTTCCGCTTATCCTTTTCAGGGTCGTGGGGGGCGCTGGAGCCTATCCCAGCTGTCATAGGGCGAAAGGCGGGGTACACCCTGAACAGGTCGCCAGTCTGTCGCAGGGCTAACACATAGGGACAGACAACCATTCACACTCACATTCACACCTAGTGACAATTTAGATTAATCAATTAACCTATCCCCACAAGCTGCATGTCTTTGGACGGTGGGAGGAAGCCGGAGTACCCGGAGAGAACCCACGCAAACACGCGGAGAACATGCAAACTCCACACAGAAAGACCCCGGCCTGATGGAGGAATTGAACTCAGGACCTTCTTGCTGTGCGGCAACAGTGCTAACCACTGTGCCACCGTGCTGCCCGCTTTTTTGATACCTTTTTTAAAAATTTATTTAATTTGATTTATATAACACCAGACACAACAGCACTCACCTCAAGGAGTAGTATGTCATAAAGTAAAGAACCTTCAATAACAGCAAGAAAACCCAAACAATCAAACACCCTCCTTTGGGTGAGCTCTTGGCAACAGTGGGAAGGAAAAACTCCCTTTTAACAGGAAGAAACCTGCAGCAGAACCAGGCTCAGGGAGGGGCGGGGCCATCTGCAGTGACTGGTTGGAGGTGATAACACAAAATACATTCATAGAAAAACTCATAATTTAGTTTATTTTCTTAATTTATGTAGCACTAATAACAGTAGCCAACAATCAGACTATTCCACATGAGCAAACACCTAGGAGCTTAGCGATAGCGGAGAGGAAGAGCCCCATTTTAACAGGAAGAGACCTTCAGCAGAAACCAGGCTTGGGGAGGGGGTTGGCATCTGCATCTAAGAGGAGCATGGAGAGACCACGAACAACAAACTCAACAAAATACAAACTGCAGGAGAGAAGACAAAAGTTAATGACCAACACTTGCGGCATCTGACATTGACATAAATAATAAATGATAATGAAAATAACGATCAATTTCAAACCCCACTGACATTTCCAGCAGCAGCAGTGATTTCGCTGACAGTGACATTTGCGAGCGCTCGTCTGGCTGCACTGATGCCGTTTCTTCCTGCAGCGACTGACATTTCCATCGGCAGCAGTGACGTCTCTAACAGGCGGCGATGAGTGTCTCTGAAGTGAGGATGTTCTCTCTGCATCCGTGACATTTCCCCCCAAACGTGCCGCTCATACTTTCCCTGCACCTGCTGTGATTATCTCTCCATACAGTACGCAGCTTTTGTTATTAATGCAAGTTGCACAGTGCTGATTTTAGCATCTTATTTCCCAACAACACAGTTTGTGCGCTATGTCTGCAGGCTCTGCACAAATGTGTTTGCATTACCTGTGCCAGGTGAGCGTGGAGTCGCAGACAGAGTAAACAGCAGCCAGCACGCTGTTGTTTCACCGCTTCATTTCATTTTCTTTGCACATGTTTCCCTTGTTGATGTTGCCGCAGTGCGCTTGTTTTCCCCTGAGGCTTCTCTTACAAATCGTCCGGTCTGTTTCTTCTGTAGTTACTGACGAACAGAGCCTACCTCGTCCTGCTGCTTTGCTTCGGCTCAGGGATCGCCGTTTTCACCTGCTTCTCCACGCTGCTGGATCAGATCCTGTGTGTAAAAGGATACACCAACGTAAGTATATGCCAGGAGAAAGACTCCAAATCAATGTCATCGAAGGATAAATGGGGAAAAAAAAGCAGCCCAACGGTATATTTGAGACTAGATGGTGGTGATGTTACAGCTCTCAAACTGAATAAATTAAGAAAAAGGTTGATGAATGTGTAATTTCTTTGCACAGTAATCTAACATCTTATTGAACGAAGTGAAAGAAAGCTTTTCCCAGTCTTGCATAGATGCTATTTGCTGTAGAAAACATGACTTATAACAGTTATTTACCTACTGAACCTATCAAATCTGACCACTGCAGGACTTTGCTGGGTTGTGCGGCGCCCTCTTCATTGTGTTTGGCATCATCGGCGCCGGTATTCTGGGTCTCTATGTCGACAAAACCAAGAAGTTCATGGAAGCCACAAAGATCAACATGAGCTTCTGTGCTGTGGCGTGCATCGCCTTCTCAGTGGTGAGAACATTCATTTATTACACAAAGAAACGTAGCTGGTCCCTGACTGTTCGTCAGGCCAGGAAGACTGCTCTGCATTAAGACTTTTGATAGTTACGCTCACTGAGGGGCAAAGGTAGAAAGTAACGAAGTACAAATACTTCGTTACTTTACTTAAATAGAATTTTCAGGTATCTGCACTTCACACGGAGAGAAACGAGAGTGAGGTAACTTAGAGATGGAAAAAGATGTAGGAGGACAGGAGAGGAAGACGAGAGGTTAGATTTAAAGGCAAGGACTGCTCAGTGGTGTTTGATAAACTGCAGATTTAAAGCTTGCATGTGATGTCTTCATTTGAATTTTTATATAACGTGTTTTGATAAATTATCAAGTGTATTCACACTAGCCAGTGTTTCATGATCATCCCTCCTGTCTGCTTTCCCACTGACCACTGCTAATACTACCTCTGATGATCTTGGCTTAAGTATGCTTCAGTCCATCTCAGCATTTCAGCTCCACCTCAGCCTCCTTCATTTTCTCTTTCATGCACAAAGCACTCTTGCAGAGCACGATGTTCTTGTTTTTAAGCATTTTGTGGCTTTATTTGTGAAGCGGTGACATGCTGTCCTCTCACATGCTGTATAGATTTGTTAATTACTTACAGTGATTTTCATGGATACAGCTGTCATTGATTAAGAGTCCTCTTCCAGTTCACACAACTGTTCCCAGGCACAGCATATAAACTAGACTTTGGATGCTACAGATCGGCTAATGTGAGAATGACGTAATACTGTGTACTGTTTATCCTAAAAAAGTCTTGGTCCTGGATCAAATCAAGCGACTGTCAAGTTTATGAAACTATTAAGCCTTTCGTTATGATATGGAGTGTAAACTGTGACCATAAAGACGGGCGCATAGTGAGCAGGAATAATCTATGGCATAAAAACCATTGGACTGATTGATAGATCTCAAAACGGCCATTCGCCACTGAAGCTGGCTCCAAAGGTGAGTCAGTCGTCAGTCTTCTGCTGTTGTTCCGAGTTTTAGAGACTGCTGCAATGGAAATCTAGGAAATTATGGACATTTTCTTTTTCTCCTCTGATTTTGATATTTAATATGAACATTAATGCTGAACTCTTTTCAGCAGGATTGTATTCATTTCACGACAGATTGTATGATTATTTCTTAATCTAAAGTATTTTTTGTGTGCTGAAACACAAACCATGCTGTCAGAAATGTGCGGCAGATTCTTGAAGTACATTTTTTGTCTATATTAAAACTGGTAAACGCCTCTCGCAGACTAACGTACAGTTTTTTCCAGGCAGACGTTTATATTTGCGTGAAGTGTATGTCAGACAGAAGTTGAGGGCGCTTAAAGGAAATGGAAAGAGTCAGTGTTTGATGTGCAAACACTTTGAAGAGAAGGCTTGTTTGGTCTTTTTATCAGGTTATGCTGACAGCTCTGTTATGTTAATGCAGTGTTTCAGTAAAATACAGCATAAATTAAAATTCTATATCAGGTTATTGAGAGGACATCCACTACATAAAGAAAACTGTCTTCAGACGCGGGATTTATATGCAGCAGACAGTAACTCAAATAAACAAATAATTTACTCCATATACTTTCTTAAATGCTCAAAACCCTTCTTCTCCAGTATTATGGACAAAATAATGAACTTTTAAAATGATCGTTAACTGGTATAAAAGACAAAAAACAGTGATGTGAAGGTGAAAGTCTCACACCAACTAATGTGTGTTACATAAATTGGAAAAAATAAACTTGAAAGTCAGGAAAATATTATGTTATGAATATAGTAGTCTGTTTTTGTTTTTTTGCCCTCCTTGGAGCTCACATTTTAAATTTTATGGAAAGGCATGTTTTCATCACAGGAAACTGAACTAACATTAGAAAAATCCACTGAGGAGCCACTTTGGTTCATCAGTAAAATGACTCTGGCATATGCTCTCACACATTTGCAGGTGCGAGGAAGGGAACAATGAAATGTGTAGCTTATAAATTAAATATAAATATTTAAAAATAATAATAAATACAGCCTGTATGTAAATACATCTAAATGTACAGAGTTGGATATGCATTAAAATTTAGGCACTAGAAGACGAGCGACTGGTATGAATCAATGACTGAATTTAATCAAAGCTCTCCTATAAACACTTGAAAACAAGCTTCGAGAATCTCCAGGACTTTATTTGGGTATTTATTCTGAAGCATTGACGGTCAGTGGTCATCAAGAAGGCTGCGTGTCGTCAGTGAGAGGTGATGAAAAGTTTTAAAAAGCTTTTTCCCTCACAGGTTTTAATTAGTCTCCCACTGACTCTCACTTCTAATGTGTCTGACTTAATAGAAAGAAATTAAAAAGCTGTGGGTGCCAGCGAGCCCCAAAATAAACAAGTCTGTCGTTTATTGATTGTAAACGCAGTTAAACAACCCCTGTTTAAATACACGAGGGTGGCATAATATTAAGAACGCTCGAGAGTGACCAAGAGTGGCCATCCAGGATTATAGTAAACCTTCACCTGAGTGTTAAAACAAAAAGACTCAGGTGACTCTGTTGATGTACTTTAATATGTGGAAAAAACATATATTGTATCAAAGCCTAAAAGACCCACCTTTCTTTCTGGTCCCGGCCTCTCAGGTGTCTCTGATGCCGCAGCAGAAAGTCGCCGTGGCCGCCGTCTGCTCTTTCTTCGGCTTTTTCGGTTTTTCCATCTACCCGGTTGCCATGGAGCTGTCGGTGGAGTGTTCGTATCCCGTTGGAGAGGCCACGTCAGCTGGACTCGTCTTTGTATCGGGGTACTAATGTCTGAGCAACACATACTTATGGTTTTATCTCATTTTTTAAAAATACTGGAGTTCTTGCAAAATTCTGCTGTAAATTATCCTGAAGATCGTAAAACCACTTCAGAGACAATATGAGGGATGTATTTATCATCTAATTGTGTCTTAAAGTCTTATTAAAGAATGGGGGGGAACTAAATTTTCACTAAATCTTCAAACGATGCACAGAGTCATCTTAGAAAATCTTTGTCTAGTTTTTTTTTTTTTGTTTTTTTTTGGCTTTAATTTTGCAGGAGATTGCTTACTGTAAAAATCAGCTTTTGGGTCACTGTTGTAGGTGTTTAAGTAAAATGTAGCCTGACGTCACCTGGAGATGCACTCAAAGGCTTTCAGCTTTTCATGACCCATTTAAAAAGTTTGTGCTGATGTTGACAGATCATGTTATATCAGGTGTGCCTGTAGTCGACCATGTGCCTCAGAGATTAGATAGTAAATAGAAAAATGTGAAGTTGCATTACAGAGACTGATGTGACCGTTTTCTTCTTCCAGACAGGTTCAGTCGGTTGTCTACATCGTCCTCCTTCAAGCTCTGACCACACGGCTCGCAGACTCTCCCCTGTCCACCTGCGGGGAAGCAGCCTTGAGCTGGAAGGGTAGGTCACACGATGTTACATCAAACCTCTGTCTGCTGCTGGTCGGTTTAAAGTTTATTGATGTGCATTAGTTTAATCTGAGGTCCGTGCTGGATAGAGTCAGTCCCAAACTCTTTCATGGCATGCATTTCTAATTTCTCGTTGCTATTTGGGCTGATTGCGACCTGATGAATGTAAAAACAAAGAATTACCTGATTTTGTTGGTTTCTGAGAAAAATGAGATCCACATATGAGGACATTCGCTTGAAATTTTGATAGAACAGTGACAGTATAACGTCCTTGTAAGTGGATATCAGGCCCTTGTAGAGCAAAATTTAGTATTTTGGTCTAGACAACCCAAAATGTGATGTCCACATATGTGGACACAAGGTCCTAGGAGGTTAAACCAAGTTTCCAGTTTTAATATTTAGCAGATCCACCCTGCTGCAGTCACTGTTCAAAGCTGACGTCCCAGCTCATCTTTCAAATATCATGATCATAATAATCATAATGATAATTTTCTGTTACTGACTGAAATTATTTTTAAAGTCTTTTAGTCTTTTAAATGTCATTTTACTTGATCAACAATTCAAAACATTCATAATTGGATAAACTCATTTCTAAGAAACAAATGTATCCAGAAAATATTTTTAGTTTTTATTTCCTTTTTGTAGCTCAGAGATTATCAGGGGTATGAAGTCCATAAGACTAATCAGTTCCTGTTTAAATTAAAAAAAAAAATTTAAAAAAAATTATTGCCAGACAAGAAGAGTATTATTTTTCTCATTTGATGAGGGATTCATTTAAAAAAATAAAAGAACAAGCTGAGCTGTCGGAAGAAAAATAATCACATTAAATTTCAGTTCTATTAACATAGCGCCGATTTCACAACAGGACACTTCATACTCTATGATAGGGACTGCAATCTTAGAAAGACCATTCTATGAGCAAACACCCTTTTTAATAGGAAGAAACCTCCGGCAGGAGGAGGCCATCTGCTGCAACGAATGGTGGCGAGGGGAGGAAGACGGGGCAAAAGACACGCCGTGGAAGAGAACCAGAGATTAATAATAAGAGCAATTTGAAAAAATTGCCTGACTTTTTACATTATTAGTATTTCTACCATGATCACAGTGGGAATTACAGCACATTAAAAAAAAAAAAAAAAAAGTCATTAAAGCACTTTACTCCAATTTTCACACATAATGCTCACATTGAACCCTTGGGTGGGCCAGTTTTGACTTTGGATCTGTATGAACCTAGAGCCATGTACACAAGAAGCCTCCATGAAAGTGGAAATGTTTTGTAATAGACGCGTAGTGTCTTTGAGGAGAGTGTTTGGACTGAAACTCGACCTTCCTGTCGTCTCCTACCCTCAGTGCCCATGATGGTGATGGCAGGGCTGTGCACTCTGTTCACCTGCTGCTTCCTCGTCTTCTTCAACACCCGCTACAGGCGACTGGAGGCCGAAGAACAAGCGACTTACGGGACCAGAGAGAGCCAGCATCTATACAGGAATGAGCACCCTCCGTGGAGGCATAAAGCTGCTGACAATACAGAGGAAACATGCCACTATGAGTGAGAGCAGAAAGGTACTCGAACAGATGATCTTTTTTTGTTTTGTTTTTGTTTTTTAAATAAAGATGTTTGTGTGTAGTTTGATTAAGTCACAAACTTTTGGTACATTGTTGGATGTAACAAGTAAATAATCCAAATTTCCAATCCTCAAAAAAAAGTTTAAATTATTATTTTCCAGCCACTTTGGCATGTAAATAATCTGTGTGAATACATTAAAATAATTTCCATCTTCTTTTTCTTCTCATCGTAATAGTAATAATAATGATGATGATGATGATGATGATGATGATGATGATGATGATGATGATGATGATAATAATAATAATAATAATAATAATAATAATAATATGAGAAGAAAAAGAAGGAAACTGTTTTAATACAGGACACTGCACTTTTACTCACTCAGATTTAATATAAAGGTGAAGAAATGTTACCTCAAAATGAAGTTCGTTGTGTACACGGGTACAAAACACCCACCCACACCTGACCAGGTACAGTAGAGTAAATGGTAATGGGAGTTCGGTGCTTTGTTACAAAACCTGCTTTTATGGATTAAGTTAAATTTCACATGTAGACCACATGTGTCAGCATTCATGTATCCACTGTCCTTCAGTGCACTCCACTTTAGTCTTACAGTCTTCCTTTGAACAGCAAACATGCAAAGGTCATAAACTGTGAGTCACATGACTCAGCACACTCGTTCGTGTGCAGATTAATTTTGCCTCTCAGGGACTGACTTTGTGCCGTCAGTCAGCACTCGTGCTGCTTGAAATAACTCCTGATGCCATCCTATTACAGTGAGAGACTTGACTTTATAGATCGTAGGAAGGAAACTTGCATACATTTTTGAAAAATCACTGTAAAAACCACAAATATTCTCCAGATATCATGTCTTAACTTTACGTGTTAAACGGGTTTTCTGCAGGTTTCTGAAAACTGTTTTTCAAACATGACTACCTGAATGTTGTTAAAAATAAACATAACATCTTTCTACCGCTGTAAAAAATAAAATAAGAAAAAACTCCTAAAAAGTGTTTTAACCACTTTAATGCTTTCTTTTTGTAAATGTGTGGCCTTCTTAAGGACTGCAGATGTTTTAAAACCCTTGAATAATGTTGGAACCTCACAGGTGAGACATGTGGGCTTTGTGCAATAAAAGAAAACAGTGTTTCAGCTGTGGGGCACTTTATGACAAAAAACATGTACACAGTAAATAAGAACACTTTTCTAAATCATGTAAATTTTATTTTTTACCATTAAATTTGTTAATCTTTCCTACTTGAGTTTGTTCGTGTTACTGAGTTCAAATTTGATGCTTTCTTTGAGCTAAGAGGCAACAGGACAGGATACTGATGCTTTGCCTCATTTTGTGCAAAGGTTGACAGGACTGTGCAGTTCACACTATGTTTGAGTACCTTGCAGAATCCCATCTCTACAATAAAATTCATTTGATTCATCAAGTTTTATGGCATTAATTCATGCAGTTCTCTTAAAGTCCTACAACAGCTTCTTATTGTTTATTCAGATTCAGCTTTGCAAAACTAAACTGCACTGCCATGTTCTTTTTAGAGACAAGAGGCTGTGTCCTCAAACTCTTCCTAACACGCAATACTTGATCAGTCTTTGTCTAATTGTACTGTTATCAAATAACATGCTAACAGAGGCCTGTAGAGTCTGAGGAGTCATGAGCTTTCTTGAGTTACTGACTCGGTCTGCTTGCTCAAATCTCTGGGGTGAATTTCTGCTCCTGTGATGATTGTGGAATTGTCTGAATACACACCCAATTGCTCCAGAGCAGCAAACTGACAAAGCTTCTGCATTTATAGAGGTGCTCAAGCTTGCTGATGATAAATGAAGTGGATTAGATTAGCAGTACCTCTTAGTTCTATGAAAGCAGTAAGGCTGTACTTATGCACTTAAGCACTAGATGTTGTGTAAATGTTTACTTGTCCTTTTTAGGCATTTATAACAATATTTCAATTTTTATTTACATCGGTATGTTCAGATAACCTCAAACTGGATGCTCCCCCCCCATTCTGTATTTTCATGAAGACTCAATAACACAAACGAGTGGATGGATAAAGACTCTGTAGAGCTTTAATTACTTCCCAATTCCACATAAAACAAATATAAAAAAGTAGAGCACTCTCTAGATTCAGAATCAGTCAGAACCGACCTGGAACCTCCCTTCCTATGAAGATTATTTCTGTAGCTCCGTCTTCATACAGTTTTTAAAAAGATCCATTCATAACAATATGGCCAGGAGGTAAAAATAAACAAAAGAGAAAACAAAGGAATACATCCAAAAGAAAAAAAAGGAGCGCTACCACAAATTAAAGATTTTCTCAACAGACATCCTCTGATGTGGCTGCACATGAGTGAAATGAATGGCACCAGACAGGAAAATAAAACTGAAGAGGAGATTCTTGATGCAAGAGCTGGTTTTTCTAATGTGTCGCTTCATCACATCGGGTGAACACAAGTACACATTTCATCGGGATCGTGTGTCTCAAAGCTGCAGGGCGCAGAACTGCTGGTACACGGCCAGGATGTGGTGGTCGAGCTCGGCGGTGAACAGCAGGTTCTCCAGGGTTCCCATGTACTGCTGGATGGTCGCGTGGTGCTGCAGAACGAGGGGGAGACGTCACAATAGAGTTCACAGAGTGAGTTTAGGGTAAAGCTAGCCTTGGTTTCCATATTCAGATACATTAAAGGTACAGAACTTAGCAGTGTGTGGAAAGATTTTTCTTCCCCCCCCCCAAAATGTCTCTTTTGGTAGTAAAGGGTTCCAGCCCGTTCTCCTGTTGAACCAAAAGCCAACTGGAACTGAGTGAATTACATAAAGCTGGCATGTTTATATTGGCTCATGTCCAGCACAGCAGTATTTGCCTCATGTTTACAGTGCTACTCTTAGCATCTTAAAGCCTGCACCTGAGCCTGAGATTCTGCTGGACATCTCTTCCTGTTAAAAGAGTTGTTCCTTCCCCCACTTGCCAAGTGCTGCTAGGTCCCTCAAAATGAAGGGCCTTTAGTTTATAGCAGGAGTGGGCAACTCCAGGCCTCAAGGGCCGGTGTCCTGCAGGTTTTAGATGTGTCCTTGATCCAACACAGCTGATTTAAATGGCTAAATTACCTCCTCAGCATGTCTTGAAGATCTCTAGAGGCCTGGTAATGAACTAATCATTTGATTCAGGTGTGTAGACCCAGGGTGAGATCTAAAACCTGCAGGACACCGGCCCTTGCGGCCTGGAGTTGCCCACCCCTGGTTTATAATATAAGGAACCCCTATGTTGTTAATTAAATAAGAAAAATAAATTGGATAATAGAAGACAAAGTAGCCTTTATAAATGAGATTCCAGCCTCTCTGCTCTATCAGATATTTTAGATTTTTAGAGTCAGAGTGGCTCACTTTGCATGTAAGCACTACTGGCCTGCATGCAGTGTGCTATGCATGCTTGAAATTACATTTTTTATTTTATTTTTTTTTTAAATGAAAATGTGGCAGACAACTTCGTCATTTATATTTTTCTGATTTTCCAAGTAGCTTTATGGATGCCGTAAGTCCCGTTGAACCTACTAATGTGTGTGAAATTTGTGTTTGTCTCAAAAGTCTTAAAACTACAAAGAAAGTAATTGCTTGTCCTTTTCCGGAGGAGTAAAGAAAGTCAAAATTTTTACTCACCCAAAGAAAACTAAAATCAGACTAAGTGGGCATTAATAAAAGAAATCTAATGATGTGTGTGAGAGTGTTTTGTGCTTTTACCATGAGGAAGATTTGCTGCAGCCGCTCGATGCCGTTTTTGTACCAGGGCGTGCTGATGTCAACGCTGCCCGTTTCACAGCGAACCAGGTGCTCCGTCAACAGCATGATGAAACGCTAAGGATGGGGAAAAGCCTCATTTAAAAATGCTTTTATGGAGCAAGCTTTTATCTTTGCATTTTAATCTCTTCAGCTCGAGAAAGAAGAAAGAGTCTGCAGTGGTGACTGTCATGACGCTGGCAACCATTTTAGCCTACACGAATCCAGGAAGTTTAACAACCTTTGAGTATTCAGTTCCAGAAAAACCGATCAGTCAGCTCTGAGTGTGTTCACTCTAAGTGATCGCATTTATCTTTTAAAACATCGTCTGTTACTGTGGTCCGATATGAGCTTTGACCTTGTCTCTCTAATGAGGAAATGAAATAAAGTGGCAGTCAGCTGCTTTGGTGACGAGAGGAGGCCAAAACCAGAAACTAAACCAGAGTTTAACTTCCGTTGTTGGGGAACTGAAAACCTCAGTTTTTACTGATTCCACTTTCTTGAACACAACCCTGGTAGAAAATCAATTCTGTTCGGAGATTTTTTTTTTTTTTGGTCTAATCCCAGAATTTAATCCGTCCCCTCATTCTTCCTTCACTGACATTTGACAGAGCCGGAGGAGGCGGGTCAGATTCAAACCCAGCAGTTGTTTCATGTGTCTTCACTTGTGATGATTATAGATCTAACCCTTTCTACAGTGCTGTTAGCACACAATGTTTACCTTCTAAGGAGCAATCAGCTGCAGTGATGTGGGGATCTGCTCAGATTTAACACAGACACAAGCCACTTGACACAGGGCCACTAGAGGGCACTACAAAAGATTAAATCCCTTGTTTACTTCCACCTGCAGAAGTTGCATAAGTTGGAGAGCTGGCACCAGCAGCGCTGCAACCTTGAAACCGGTTAAGTAGTTAAGAAGATAAACTGTAGTCTTCCGTACCTGGAAGATGACAAGGAAGAGGTTTTTCTGCTCGCTCTGAGCAGACTCCACCTTCTCCTGGAGCCTCTCTATCTGCTCCTCCAGCTGACCCTCCTCATCTTCACTGTTCTTGTCCATATCCTCGTCGTCCCCGCTGTCGCGCTAGTAGTGAACAAAAATTTGAATTCATTTTACACAATTTGTTCATTATTTTAAGTTTAACGTTAAAATAATGATGATTGCATATTGGGGGGAGGGTTACCCTCTTGTGCTGCTGTTTCTCCAGTTTGTCTTTGGCCTCCTCCAGCTCCTTCTGGATCTTCTGCACGTGTTTGTTCATCTTTCGGATGGTCGAGTGCAGGATCTCCCAGATGAAAAGTCTAGATGAGGCACAAAGTCTTTCAGTTTACAGAGAAGACGCTGCGCTTGCGTCATGAGAGCTAAAACCTAAACATCTGCGTGTCCCACCTGGTGAACTCGTGGGCCATGTCCTGAGAGAAGAGCCAGTTGGCAACTGCAGCACAGTCCACAACCTGCGT